CAAAATTTTATGAATTTTAAATTAAAAAATTAAAAAATTTCGCAAGGACCATTTGTGATAGATGTGTAAACCTTAGGGATGTTTTGTGATATGTATATATGTCACGTCAGCAAACTAACGGAGTTTTTGACGGAACCTAACGGCAATGACCATTTGTGATTATACATACTAACCTTGAGGACCATGAGTGACACAAAAAAACATTAAGGATGCAATCTGATAGTTTCGTAAACCTTAGGGACCTTTTGTGATAATAAGCCAACTGGAAAATATACAAATTTGGCTAGGAGCTTGGGGTGATCACTTATGTATATAGTAACGCGCTCTATTCTTTTTTCACAAAGACGAATTTTGTGGTTGGGCCGTGGAGAATGCTCTCAGGGTTCACTTGGGCTGAAACTCTGGATAAGCCCATATATATATAGTTGATCTGCAGTCCATTTCTGGAAAAAAAAGAGAAAAAAGAAGAAGGAATTTTGATGCGAAATAAAGAGGAATTACCTTACTGCGTAAGTTCCTTTTGGCGGCAGCTTTAATTTGGTAATTAATTGTAGAAATTTGAAGCTCGGAGAAAGAATCCTAGTTCAACTGGGAAATGAAAATAGTACCGTTGTTTGTTACCGCGTCACTATTAAGCTAACCCGACTCTTTATAAACCTCCTCGCACACCACACTGAAGCCTCCAACTTTCTCACCACTCTCTTACTCGACCGATCCAAAGCTCTCTCTCTCTCTCTATAGAATCGCACGACATGGCGGAGACTGACACTTCCGCCGACACAGCCAACGCCACCATCGAAACGGCGGCGCAACCAAACGACAACTCGTCGTCCGATACGGCCACCAGTGCTCCCCCACCTCCGGCGAAACCGGAGTCAAAGCGCTGGGCCGACGAGGAGGACGACCCTCCCGAGGAGCCCGAGAACAAAAATGACTTGCCGTCTATTTCCGAGCCGGAAGTGAACGTTGCCGAATTGAAGATCACCGAGAACAAGTTCCTCGACGACCCCGAAGACTCTAATATTAGCGCCGTATGATCTCTCTCTCTCTGAAATTTTCAATTTTTGGTTTTAATTAGGGTTTTGATTCAAATTGCAGTAGGGCTAGGGTTATTGGTTGATTTTGTTAATGATTTTGGGGATTTAATTCGATTTAGGTTACGGCCGGCGACACGCCGTACACGTCGGCGAGTAGCTTCGAGGATCTGAATCTATCGCCGGAGGTGCTGAAGGGCTTGTATGTAGAGATGGGGTTCAAGAAGCCCAGTAAAGTCCAGGCAATCACTTTGCCCATGATTTTAACCCCTCCCTACAAAGATCTTATTGCTCAGGCCCACAATGGTTCGGGCAAAACCACTTGTTTCGTGCTTGGGATGCTCAGCCGGGTCGATCCCAATGTTAAAGCGCCCCAGGCGCTCTGTATCTGCCCCACCAGAGAGTTGGCCATTCAGGTAAAGTTTCATTCTTTTCTTAGATTGTTACTCCAATTGTTGTTTTTTTATTAATTTGAATAGAAATGATAGGGTGAATGAAATACAATTTACTTAGAAGAAAGAAAGAAAGGCTCTTTTCTTTGTTTTGGAAATTGAATATAGCTGAGCTTTTTAGACTAGAGGATTGATGGTGGTAAGTGAATGTGGCAGAATATGGAGGTACTTCAGAAGATGGGGAAGTACACAGGAATAAATGCGGAGTGTGCTGTCCCAACGGAGAGAACTAGTTCTACGTCCATTCAATCTCGAGCACCAGTATCAGCACAAATTGTGATCGGAACCCCTGGTACAATTAAGAAATGGATGTCTATCAAGAAGCTGGGCGTAAGCCGTGTGAAAATTCTTGTGTTTGACGAGGCTGATTACATGTTGGCCAAGGTAATCATATCATGCCACTAGATTTGATTAATTTTTTAAAAGTTCATGGTTTCCTTGTCTGCTTTATCTTGATTCTGGATTGTACGATATTGTATGTTTTCTAAGCGTGTAATGCCACCTCAATCAGTTAACGAGAACAAAATTAGCCTCATGGACGATATATCCAGGGTCTTTTATTTTATTATGGTAATGTGATATGAGTAGACCTGTGGTTTAAAGGGTATAAGTTGGTTAAGCATGTGTGCTTTGAGCATCCCTTACTGTCTGTTCTCTTCAAGCATTAAGTGGCGTATCAATCTACTGCAAATGATTGGCTACCAATGGTTTATGCTTTATGTATTAAGTCACTAAATACTTTTGTGCAGGATGGCTTTCAAGATGATTCTTTAAGGATAAAGAAGGATATAGAGAGATTTAGCCCTCACTGCCAGGTTCGTCAAATTTATTTTTAAAGTTTTATTGCGCCTAAGGTTTAATATTTTATTGCGTCAAATTCATAGTTTCTGTATATTTTATTTCATGATTTTTTCCAATATCTTATTATTGAAAACACCTGTGTTTAAGGTTCAACGAAACTAGTATCGGAATTAGTTCCTACTTTTTAAAATCTTATTAATGAGAACACTTTTGTTTAAGGTTCAGCAAAGCTAGTATGGAATTAGTTCCCACTTTATTCAATCTTATTGATGCCACACCTTTGTTTAAGTGTAAATGAGACTAGTATTTGAATCAGTTTCCACTTTATAAAACTCTCATCAGTGGTTTGACGATAAAAATATGAAAGTTCAGCTAGTTTGCAAAGGTACTTTCGTTAAGAGAGTTTATCCATATTTTATTTGTTTCAGTACCGTTTCTTCTTGAAGATTCTGTACTACTGTGAATTTTATGGTTGGACATCTTTAGTAATGATAATTAACGTTGCTGGTAGTGGAAATAAAGGAATGGTTATGATGTGCACATTGTCCGATGTTTCAACGGGGAATGTTCGTGTGATTAAATTATTGTGTTGTCTTCAGAATATCTCCTTAAAATATTAAAAATCGTAGGGAGTGGTGATTGACTAACCACCTTATGTCACATTTGTTGTCAGGTGCTTTTGTTTTCTGCTACATTTAATGAAATAGTCACAAATTTTGTTTCAAGAGTGATCAAAGGCGGTGGTAATAAACTCTTCGTAAAGAAAGAAGAGCTATCTTTGGAGGGTGTAAAGCAGTATAAGGTGTACTGTCCTGATGAATTGACCAAGATTGAAATCATCAAAAGCAAAATATTTGAACTGGGAGAGAACTTGGGGCAGAGAATTATATTTGTAAGGACAAAAAACAGCGCAAGAATGTTACATCAAACACTCGTTGAAGATGGTTATGCGGTTACTACTATTCAAGGTGCTCTTACTGTTGAAGATAGAGACAAAATAGTCAAAGAGTTTAAGGATGGATTAACCCAAGTTCTTATCTCAACTGACCTACTCGCTCGAGGCTTTGACCAACAGCAGGTTCACATTCTCTCCATTCTTTTCCCCTTCTGTCTGACATGCCTTACAAGATTTACACGCTGACATGATACCTTTTTGTAGGTTAATTGTGTAGTCAATTATGATCTCCCAATCAAATACACAAGTGGCCCCAGGACACATGACCCAGAGCCTGATTATGAGGTGTACTTGCATAGAATTGGAAGGGCAGGGCGTTTTGGTCGCAAGGGTAAGTTTCTCATTCCAAAGTTTGTCTTTTGGTGTTCTGTTTCGTATATATTTTGGCTCTTTCCATGAAATAGAGTTTTGTCAGTTGTTGGACCTATTATTTAATTAGGAAATATGTGGCGCACAGCATCTCCTTTGATCATGTTTCATTGAAGAAGGAAACAAAATAGCTGTTTATGTTTTTGGTATATTATATTACTCTCTTGATCTAACAAAATAAGTAGTATGCTTTTATTACATTGCTTTGTAAATTTGGAGTTACTAATGTGAAATTGAAACATTGACCGAGCGATGTGCATGTGTAATCGTGCAGGGGCTGTGTTTAACTTGATTTGTGGTGATTGGGATGAATTGATCATGTCAAAGATTGAGCAGTATTTCAACTCCCCAGTAACAGAGGTAATAATCTTGCACCTCATCCCGCTTTAACTTTGAATTTGTTCATGGAAAATTGAGTCCTCCGTGTTCTTCTAAAAACAAAAGTTCAGTAACTTTTTATTGTTTGATAGGAAAGGATTGGGAACTTCAAATTTCATTAGGAAGTTTGAGTCTTCATAAGTTCCAAAATTTTTCAATATCTTATTGAGGAGATAACTGTAAACTATTGTATCTAATTGCTGTCTTCTTGTTGCTGCTGCGTTAACAGGTTCAGAATACTGAAGAAGCTTTTGAAGGTGCTCTTAAATCAGCTGGCTTACTCTAAGGTCTTAAGGACATACGCAGCTTTAGCACAACCAGTTTTGGAAAAGAAAATACGCGGTGACATTGTAGCAGAGGAGCACATCTTGCCAAGAGTTTTTATTTTTATTTGAAGTTATTTGTGGACCTCTACGTATATTGTTTGATGGGTTCGCTGTCTAGTTTCTGTAAATGTTACAATTGCATAACAAAATAGAGTCCAAGTTTTCTGTTTTTAATTATCCATTCTTCTTGTTACTAGGGGCCATGTTTGTATGAAGTCATTTATGATAATCATTTAGTGAGTTTGGAGCTTGATCCAATTTGTTTGCTATATTTTTGGTGTACTTTTTTGTTGTCAATAAAATATGACCAAATTCTTGATTGAAATGGACAAACCCTGCATATCATATGAAAGCTCTTATGTTACAAAACCATCATCAAGATCAGGCATTGGAACCCTCAAAATTGCGGCAATGCCTGTGGTGGCCAGCTCCACTCTGGGCCTCTGGCCACATGTTTTGCCGAAAACACAATCGCCTTCCCTCCCGCCTCTTTTACTGACTTCACCAACCCTGCATACTCATGCCTTGTCCCGATTTCTGCACTCTCAAACAAATCATCCGTGATCAACAGCATTTCGATGGCCATCAACTCATGCACCATCTCCATGCTCTTTGCACCATAACACGCTCGATCCGAATTGCTTGATACCATGTCCGAAAACTCCTTGTAAGCCCTGATCTCCATCGCAGCCTTGGTGTCCTTGATCAAGTTCATGACCGCATTGTCATGCAAAACCTCATGCAAGCTGCTGCTACAATTATTATTGTCGCCTTTGCTGGTATTAACAACGACAATCCTTGCTTTGTTGCTTCAACCTCTGCGCCTCCCCAATCAAAAGACGACGAAAGTCTTCCTTCATACTTCCGGGGCTCCCGATTACGACACACCGTACAACACCGAAATCGACATGCTTCACGAAAGCGCTAAAAACATTCTCAAAAAACGTTTTGTTCGAAACCGCTTCAACCTTGGAACACAGCGTTTGGACCCTGGGCCCCACCAAGAATACGTGGGCCAACCCGATTGGCTGCAACAGCAAAACAGCCAAATCAGTGCCCGAAGCCCTTTCGCAGCCCTCGCGCAATTTCCACAACGAACCCTCGTCCCAGACCTCCTTCCGAATCTCGTACTCCTTGTTCCTCTCGATCTGCAAGGTGTGAAACGACCCCGTTTGGACGTACTGGTTGACGGTGAGGTTCTTGCCCTGGACCCGCACCGTAGACGAGTCCTTTTGGAAATCGAGGGCGGTGATCAAGAGCTCCAGGCTGAGCCTGACCCGGGCAGCACTGCCCTTCTTTCCCGAGCCGCCGTAATGGATTTTGCGGGTGGTGGTGGCGGTGATGACGTCACCGGGGTCGATGAGGTTGTAGGCGAGCCAAACGTCGCCGGGGTCTCACTTGTCAAACAAGAGTATATGGCAATTTTCTCATATATTCACATGTGTATTCTTGTCCAATGGGGTCGTATTTATAAGACCTATGTAATATATGAAATAAATATCAATTACAATATAACAAATAATCAAGTAAGTACTCGCCACCATTGCTGAATTTAATTAACTTGCGAATTTACGAAGGAGTGGTTCGGGTTACTTGTGGTTTAAGTTACTTTATTTGTATTTGTACCCAAAAATCTGCTCAGTGCACCCAACGAATTTACTTAACTTTCTATTTTATCCTTGAATTGAATGGACACATCATGCAAAAGCCAATCTGAATAATTAAACTTTCTATTTTATTCAAATTAAGCTGGTTGTCTTGAATAATTTATAAAGATAATTGAAAATGTTAGGTGACGACCTTCATATTTATTTAATAATTGATTCATATTATTAAAAAATTGGTACATATAATTTAACAATCTGCATATCCTAAGTGGAATGCACGTCCCAAGTAGTGCCCTTCCATTCCACTCACCACTCAACTAAAACCCATTATGTGTCCTATATATTTGCTTCCTCCTCAATTTAATTAGAGACGGAGAGAGAATTTGAGAGAGATTAATTAAGAGAGATGAGAGCTATGGCGATGCTCATATTTGCAGTATTATTGATCGTAATTGGTTGCACCCAGACAGCGGAGGCTTCTAATTATGAGGAACCCAAAATCGAAACCATCCATGTAGGTGGGAAAGTACTATGCCAAGATTGCACCCAAGGTTGGAATGAATGGGTTCACGGTGCCAAACCCATCAAAGGTATGTATCAAAATCCTTCCTCGTAAGTAGTCGAAAACTAATGCGTGCGTAAGTCACTGTTAATTCGTTGATGTGTTGTGAAGTCATGTGTGATTAATATATGAATGCAGGTGGGAAGGTGTCGGTGACATGCATGGATGAGAGAAGCAGGGTTGTATACTACGGAAGCGATCTGACGGACGAGAAGGGCCAATTCGACTTGATCATAAACAAGTACATCAACGGCAAAGAACTCATACCCAAGCTATGCTCAGTGAGGCTGGTGTCTTCCCCAGACGCCACGTGTAACATTCTGACCAATTTTGCTGGTGGACGCACTGGGGTGAAGCTCAATAGGCCCAGTTTGATGTACAGAGATTCGGTCAAATACACAATTGATCCGTTCTATTATACCACTCCAACGTGCGAGAAACCAGATACTGATGATCACTCTGATAATGCCCATGGAGGCCACTACTAATTAAACCAGATACTTTTTTACTTCTTATCTTATGCAACTTTTTTTTTTCTTGGAAACTTTTCGTTTAAACTTGTAATTCAATGAATCAAATGTTTGTGAGACAATATGTTCATCAAGATTATCATATATAATTAGCTTAACACAATTGATGCTAACGTCACGTGAGCTAATGCTCGACAATATGTACTTATTACATCAATTATTATAATTAAGTGCTAATTGACATAATAATCGCGTTATACAATAACAAGTTGTTACAAAATGTATTCCCTCTATATGGTATGGACGGTTTGGAAGTCAACCTTGGGGAATATGGATGTAATTGGCCTTAACCGGTATCTCTACAATGGAAAAAATGTATGCCTTGGCATGAAGTTGAAATTCTTGTTATTTGCTTAGATGAACAAATATGCGTCTGCTTCTTCTGGAAGGATAAGTGATGTTCAAGGCATGGTGAGCAATAGCCAAGAACAGGCATACATACTTGTATTGTGTAGACGTATTGATAGGGAAACACTACATAGGAAACAAAAAATTATTGCTAGTTAATGAAGTTTTCAATTGATTGTACATATATAGCTAGCAATTACCTAATTGATTGTTCGTATCATAATGGAGTGACGCAAACTTACCTCGAGTGCAAGGGTAAATATTCAAATCCATTCGAACTAAAAGTCCTCACGAATCAATAATAACTTATGTTTTACGTGAAACAATAATACCACGTTTACACGACACGACACTTGAATGGAACCCAACTATACGAGGCTCGATTTGTTGTAAGAGTGAGTAAATGCAATATTTTTTTTGTGAAACGGAAATAGCACTATTTTGCTATCCCTAGCCAATCATAGACTCATACGTGAAAAAATTATTACATGTGACATGCTATGATTGGCCGAAAATAGAAAAATTATGCTATTCCCGTTTCATAAATGGGGCTTGTATTTAGAAATGGGGTTCTCTCTCAAAAAAAAGAAAAAAAGAAATGGGATTCAAGAGGGCCAGTAAAATCCAAGCAATCACTTTGCCCATGATTTTGACCCCTCCATACAAAGACCTCATTGCTCAAGCACACAATGGAAGTGGGAAAACCTTACGGGCTTGGGATGTTGGGTCGGGTCGATAGTGAATATAATGTGGCAGAATTTGGAGGTTCTTGAGAAGATGGGAAGGCACACAGGGATACCTGCAGAGTGGTTTTTATTTGATTATCAGTATTAGTAGTGGTTTTTATTGATTCTTGAGTTTATAAAAATGCTTTCTCATTGTTTCTGTATATTCTCTTTCATGGTTTCCTCCTATATTTTGTTTTCGGTACATCAGAACACGTTTCTTTAAGCTTCTAACAATTGGTTCCCCTTTTATTTGATTTCGGTATCAGCAGTGGTTTTTTTTTATTATTAAAAAATTGTATAGCCACCCAGCTATATTCCAGGGGGGGTTAATAAAAAGCATATAGCCGGACGGCTATACTACTGTTTTTATTATTAAAAAATAGTTAGCCGACGGTTATACTATTTTTGACACGTGGCGAAAGAAGAGCTAGCTCCCAGGCGGGTTTGCTTTTTTTATAAAAACAATTATTTATTATTTAAAACAGTATAGCCGAGCGGCTATACTGGGATCTATACTGGGATTTTTTATTATAAAAAATAGTATAGCCGACCGGCGACACTGGGGTTTTTTATTATAAAGTCGTATAGCCGGGCGGCTATACTGCGGTTTTCAATTAAAAATAGTATAGCCGACGGCTATACTTTTTTGACACGTGGCGAAATGGGCTCAGCGCCAGGCGGGTCCTCTTTTTTTAAAGGGTATACTGGTGAAATACCCCCTAAACTTGTACCTTAGTTTCAATTAGCCCCCTATCCTTTTTTTTTAGAAATGTAAGGACCCGATCTATTTTTTTTCGCCAATGTTCCCCTCGACGTTAGAATCTGGCACTTCCCATCCATTGTGCCGTTAAGATGGAGGTTAGTTGTGTCATTTCGCGTCTACACGCAAGTCAACCCAATGTAAGTCGAAAATTAGAAGGAGGCTAGGTCAGTTTTGACAAAAAAAAGAAAAGAAAAAGACAGTCAGAGCTGTAGATGTAGGGTTCGAAAGTTTGGGGGAATTGGGGATTTCACGAAATCGAGCTGCATAGTGGTTGATGTTGACAAATCGGAGTGGTTGTCATAAGAATCTCGAAGCAACACACTTGTATTGACCAAGAAAGATGCCTGTCGAAGTCCGTAGCAGTGGGAAGCCTCCCAAGTATAGTAAGTCTTCAACTTTCCCTTTCTTTGTTCATTGTTTAAGTGGTTGTGGTCCATAGGTTGTCGGTAGAATTGTCATCTTCTATCTTATTGCTAGGGGTGAGCATCGGTTCGAAACCAATGGTTTTTTACCAATCCAATCCAATCCAATCTTCTATTGGATTACAAATTTTACAATCCAATCCAATGTGTTTGGATGTCAGGATCCAATCCAATCCGATCCAATGTACATTGGATTGGATTGGATTGGATGATCGGTTTGTATGAAAAAATAATTATGATAAAAAAAACTTCATAATCTTTCATAACATTTAATTCAAAATTCAATATGATGAAAGATATGACATTAATATATTAATTTTTAATATAAATTAATATAATATTATATTTAATATGTTAACGTTTTGATTTTTTCGAAAGTAAGATTAATATATTAGTGAGAAACAAGATGAAATGTAAATATTATACAATATGAAAGTATATTAATGTGTATATTGGATTGGTTCGGTTTAGGTTGGATTTTCAATTCTTGATCCGCCATCCGATCCAATCCAATTGGATTTCTATTTTTCTAATCCAATCCAATCCATCAATGTTGTCGAAACCAATGAAAATTGGATTGGATTGGATTGGATTGGTCGGTTTTAGTGGATTGGTTTGGATCCTGCACAGCCCTA